TGGAGAACCTATTTCCAAGCTCTGTTGGATTGGAAACTCCACAAATTAGAAACCATATCTGCTGAGATGACTTGTATCCCTGAACTGAACTAAAAATAAATTGGACCTACTGTTATTAGAAAATCAGTTGTCTTTGTTGTTTTCTGGACTGAATTCAGTTTTATTCAGAACAAACAGTTTCAACTTACTGTTATGATACTAAAATTAAGCAAATTGCCTTTATGTATTTATGTCATAAACCCACAGAATGGACATTAACACGACAGAACTTCTCTTACATACTCCTTTCCAATCACGTATCTTCTTGGAACTGATGTTTTTAGGCCACTATTCCAAATTGACAGTGCAACTTTAAAAACAATCCTTCAATCCTTCACACAACAGACTCACATCCATCTGCCTTTGTTTATAAATTCTAAAAAAAAGTGCAATATATGCGTAAAATATATTTTACGTATGTTCCACCACACCACCTCCCAAACAAAAATGGAACTGAATTCTTAAGAGGTCTTTCCATTTTCTATTAATACATTACACTTAACCAGGTTTCCATAGTGTGTCAAAAGTATTCTTATATTTACATAAATTATATATTGGTTTTCGATATGGACGTATCCTACACAAGTCCCTTTATGCCTTGAGTATTTAATAATTTTGGAATGGTGTTCGTGTCTTCTAATGAAGACTGATGGAAAATATTTATTTAGCAACTCTGCCTGCTCTATAAATTCGTCCTTTACAGCTCCCTACACGTTGAATATCTTTAAACATTCAATTTCACGTTCTGACCAGTATGCAGCCATGTTTCCACATTGACATGCATTGAAAAATGTGACCATTTAATTATGTAGTACCGGACAAATGAATTATTTTCATAGAGTTCATGCAGTGTGGAAGCAAGCCATTCAGCTCATCGAGTCCACATCAACCCTCCAAAGAGCATCATAGCCAAACCCACCCCCGAACTCTACCTTTGCATTTCCCATGGCTAATCTACATAGCCCGCACTTCCCTGAACACTATGCACAATTTTTCATGGCCAATCTACCTAACCCACACATATTTCTACTGTAGGAGGAAACGGCACCACTCGGAGGAACGCACAGGGAGAATTTGTAAACTCCACACAGCCAGTCACCCAAGGCTGGAAATGAACCCAGGTCCCTCATTTGGTGAGACAGCACTGTCAACCACGAAGCCACTGTGCTTCCCGTGCTATAACCTGCATTTCCCTAATAGCTACACGATCTGTCACTGGAATTTCTGGAACCACTCTGAGAAATTTATAACCATACTCAGATGGTTCTACTACCTCATAGATCACTGCAAATTCTCCATTCGATCTATTTGAGGTTGTCTCTGTTTACTCAGCAATTTAAATAAAATATTCAGGTGTTGGTTCTAAATCAATTTCTGATTTGTTTGATATAATTCTCTCAATTCAAGATACATTTGTTGACTTTCCATTATAGAATATACACTGATCATGTTATCCTCATTCTCTTTGCCTCCATACTCTTTGTTTATCGTGCTTTGTAACTGAATTTGACAATTATCTCCCTTTTTCGAATGTACCCCCTCTTCCTTTCTAATTTTGTGTTTTGAGATTTAGTCACAACACAGTCAGGAAACAACCCATGAAGCTATTCATATTTCATGTCAGTTTATTTTATCTCTACTGTTTGCTACTCCACTATTGGTGAGGTCAACAGTTTTGAACCAGACAGTACATTAACCAAGATAGAAATCAATTCCTGCTAATGGATGTTTTGCACTACTCCAACTATAACGTCTCCATTAACTGAGTCGTGCATTAATACAACTATATTCAATGGCACCAGTTTTTAACCTTCATGTATACCTTAAATTCATACTTTCTCCTTCATCAACTTCTCGACCAATTGTATAATCAGTCAATATCAGTGGCTGACTTCTTAAAGTGTTTCTCAATATCTTTATTTCTTCACCTCCCTAACCTGAAAAATAATGAAAAAAGTTGTTCTTTTGAAGCAACATTTTCAGAATCTCCAAGGGTCTGATTCTGTTACAGTCATCGAGTCCTACAGTACAGAGACAGGCCACTCATCCCAAACAGGTCCTTGACAACCAAAATGTCCATCCACGCTAACCCCATTTCTCTTAATTTGGCCCATTTCCTTCTAAACCATTCCTACCAATGTATTCGTCCAAATGTCTTTTAAATGTTGCCTCAACCACTTCTGTTGGCAGCTCATTCCATGTGCATACCAGCGTTGGTGTAAAAAAGTTGCCTCTTAGGTTCCCATGTATTCTTTCCCCTTATACCTTAAAATGATGCCCTCTAGTTCTCGATTCCCGAACCCTGTAGAAAAACTGAGTGCATTCACCCTATCCATGCCTGTCATGATCTTATAAACTTCGACAAGACCCCTCTCCCCTAAGTCTCCTATGGTCTACAGACAAAAGTTCTAGCTTGTCCAGCCTCTCTGCATAACTCAGGCTCTTGAGTACTGGGAACATGCTTGTAAATTTCTTCTGTACTCTTTCCAGTTTAATATCATCCATCCTATAGCAAGGTGACCAAAACGAAGCACAATACTCCAAATGCGGCCTCACCAATGTCTTGTACAACTTCCCAACTTCTACACTCAAGGCCCTGACTGATGAAAGTCAGTGTGTCAAAAGACTTCTTCACTGTCCTGTCTATCTGTGTCTCCACTTTCAGAGAACTGTGCACCTGAACTCCAAGATCTCCCGTTCTACTTTTTAAGGCCCTACCATTCACGATGAAACTCCTACCTTGATATGACTTTCCAAAATGCAATACCTCACACTTAACTATACTAAACTCCATTTGCCATTTCTCGGCCCACTTTCCTGGCTGATTAAGATCCTGCTGCAATTTCTGGTAACCTTCCCAACTGCCCACAAAACCGCCTATTTTAATGTCATCTGTAAACTTGCTAATCATGCCTTGTACATTCTCATCCAAATCATTGATATAGATAACAAACAGCAATGGGCCCAGCACCGACCCCTGAGGCATGCCACTAATTACAGGCCTCCAAACCAACAAGCATCCTTTCTCTGTTACTCTTTGTTCCCTACCATCAAGCCGCTTGTGTAATAAATTTACCAGCTCTTGCTGGATTCCATGTGATCTAACTTTCCAGAGCAGCCTACCATGTAGAACCTTGTCAAAAGCCTTACAGAAATCCATATAGACTATGTCTTTCGCCCTGCCCTTATCAACCTTCCTGTTCACTTAATCAAAGAGCCCTAACAAATTTGTGAGGCATGATCTCCCACGCACGAAGCTATGCTGATTACTTCTAATCAAACCCTGTCTTTCCAAATGCATATATATTTTACCTCTCAAAATCTTCTCAAGTAATTTGCCTATCACAGATGTTAAGATTACTGGTGTATAATTCCTAGGTTTCTCCTTGCAGCCCTTCTTGAATAAGGGCACAACATTCACTACCCCCAAGTATACCAGGACCTCACCCATGGCTAACGATGATGCAATATATCAGCCAGGACCCCTGCAATTTCTTCTTTAGGTCCTTCCAGGGTTCTTGGATATATCTGGTCAGCACCAGGAGATTTATCCACCTTCATGCATTCTAATACTTCCAACACCTCCTCTACTGTGATGTGCACTGTCCCCAAGCTATTGCCACTAACTTCCCCCAGTTCCCAAGTCTTCACGTCTTTCTCCACAGTAAACACAGAGGACAAAATATGCATTGAGGACCTCGCCCATCTCCTGTGGTTCCACACATGCATGTCCAATTCAAAATTCAAAAGTGACTTTAAAAATGGAACACATTTTTAATTGAAAAACAAGCTGCATGCAGGACTACGGGTGAAGGGGTTGAGACGGTGGAGCGCTGTTAGTTAGGATGTCCTTTCAAAGAAGAAGAAATTACACGTTTTGTTGACTGCTGTACTGTTACATGATGCTCTAGTTGTTAATTTCCGCCCGTGGTTCGCTTAGTAATAATTCTGCTCATAATTTGGCTCATGTTATGTTTAAAATTGTAGACTACGTAACTCAGCTGCCATCAGTAGTTAAGCAAAACAGAACTGTTAAGTCCAGAATCCGGTCATAAATTAATGCGTGAATTAACCACTTCTTACCTACCACAACAGTGCATGTTTATTTAGTCAAGTGCTGACTATACGAAAAATAAAATATAGAATGTAAGACATACAAGATATGAAGGAGTTTTTTCTGTCTTGACCTGCAGTGCAGTTATTCTATTCAATGCAATGCAGCTTATCTTTATGGCAATGTAAGAAGGAAGGGAAATTCCACTAATTGCTCATTTTGCACTTATACCTTCACATGATAATCAATCACTCTTTGTTTAGACATTCAGCAAAGCGAACTCTGCTGGCTATAGCTTTAGTGAAATATGTGTGTTGCTTTAATTACATTTAATCCTACAATACAATAATACACGAGAAGTAGCTTTGCGTATCTTTATCGTCCTGCATTTTATGCTGTTAAAGTCTGTCGTCATATGACTTTCGGTTTAAAACCTGACCGCATTTTATACATTTTTACTTCAGAATACAGAACCTGCATTGTGTTGCTTCGCTCTTGTGTGTTTCAACGTGTCTTTCCATTGCTAAAATCCACAGTAGGGAGATCTGTGGTCTCTCAGCCTACATAAATGATGAATTAGGTAATACCAAGTGTGCACTTTTAAGTCAGATATTGTACGAGTTGAATTTCTTAGGTATTAATGCATTTCCAAGGATTTTCCATGCAGCCTTTCTCTGTACAGGAGGTTATAAAGTAGGCTTTCACGTTTTAAAATTGTTTGCCTCAGGTATCAGTATGTGTACTGGGGTTCATGTATATCTTGCCATCTGACAACGTCGCTTCCCTTCTTGCCAAGCTCGTTAATTTCGTTGACGCCTCACTTCCTGTCAGATGTAAGCCTATCAGTTCAGCAGTAAGCTACAAAACCACGTTGCAAATTTATCAGCAACCCGGGGTTCAATCTGCACCATTACGTGCTGTAAAAGCTCGATATTGTATCACTCTAAAGGCTGATCTTATGTTGTGCTGCAATTCGGACTAACGACATTTAGTTTCCTGTTTAAACTCAGTTCATAACAATGGTGACAGAACGGTGGTCAACAGCTGCTCTCTTCGTTCTCATTTCAATGTCTCTATCAGGTAAGTGCATAGTCACGCTCTAATTGTTGTTAATTGTAAGAAAGGAATGTATCATTAATTATACCAAGTGGGCGATTACGTGTATTTCTGAAACCATAGCTTAATAAGTTGCCATTGCATCAAGCAGACGCAGAACTAAATATCATTTCCAAAATTAGATGAAGCATTTGTTCAATTACTCAAAACATTCAATTATTGCATTTAGCTTCAAGACATGTTTAAACTCCAGCACTGAAAATCACTCAAGTTAAAGCGCCTCTGTCGATAATATTGCATTATAACCAAATACAGACGCCTTCTGGTAACAATTTATATTAACATCATTCTGTGAATGCGTTGATACATTAACACAGCTGCACATTTTCATGTAAGCAGTGATTAAATACCTGTAAGCATCTTATCTCCATCTCACTGATATCTTTCCTATTTGTTTTGCTAAATAGCTACTTCGCTGAGTTACCAAGCTTCAACTACCAAACAGAATTTCAGTAAACAAGTTAGTAGATCGGTGGTCTCCGAAAATCAAACGTTACCTTCAACTTAATAACTGCAGACCATTTAGCTAAGCTACCCACAATATTCCCACTGTGGATTTCTGGGAGTCGTGAATCCTAACTCTTGATAAGAAGCTTTTTATACTTTTTTTGAAACCTATTGTACATCCTTTTTATGCTACTTGTGCTAGAAACATATCTGTAACATTTAATGAGTGCCAATGATAACTTAGTTAGCCCTATATTTCAGTATTTCCTTGCTGTTTCTGATTAGCCAGATTTCAGCTGGAGAACTAATTCATTTCTGGGCAAGACACTTTAGGGAGGATGTGAATGCATTAGATAGAGTGCAAGAGAGGTTTACGAAAGTAGTTCCCTGGATAAGTAGCTTGAATTATTTAGGTAGAAAGTAGAAATTGGAACTGTTTACTTTGTAGTTGAAAAGGCTGACTGGAGATTTGATAGAAGCTTTTTGATCACAGTAGCTAGGTGAAACTATTCTTCCTAAAAGTGACCAGAATGTAAGGAAGTAGACGTAAATACATTTTCAAAAGGAACAAATGTCGGAGGAGAAATGAACGTTTCCATGCAGTGTATAAAAAACAAATTATTGCAAAAAGTAGAAATCTGAAATAAAAGAAGAGAATGCCAGAGAAATCAGCTAGTCTAGCAGCGGATTCCTTTTACTGACACTGAAAGAGGAAAGCATAGTTTTCTGAAGAAAAGTCACATAGGACTGGAGATGAAGTCTATTTCTCTATCCATTGATGCTGCCAGACCTGCTGAGTTTCTGCAGCAATTGCTGTTTTATTTTACTTTCACACAGCGAATGCATAGATCTGGAAAGTGCAGCCTGAACTCCTGGTGTAAGAAGGTTCAACCGAGACATTGGAACAGATATTATATGATTATTTGAATAGAAACAATGAGCAAGGTTACGGGAAAACAGCAGAATGACAATTCATACTGCTCACTCAAGGAGACAGTAAACACATGGTAGGCCGAATCGCCTTCGTCCGCACTGTAGTAATTCTGTGATTTCATGTTGTGTTAATCCCCTGTAACCAATAGACACCAAATCAGCCAATTGTCTTATTATTTGGAATTGATCTAGCAAATCATTCTTCAGATCTTCTTGTTAAAAATGCCGCTCAGTTACCAATATTAACACTTAAATGTGATTGCCCTTAAATGAGGGATGAACCTTGCTGCCGTTCCCCATAGCAATGCTGAGTACAGGATATTCAGCTCGATCCAGTGACAAAAGACCGCACGCAGCACTGCAGAAATAGACTCACCAGGATCAAATACAATCTGAAAATGATCAAGCTGTATTCATTCATTTTTTCATCTGATATGCAGCAAATGGGGAGATATAACTTACACAAATGATTGTTGCAAAGTATTCTAGAAATTAGAAGGTACAACGTAATATTTACTAACAATCTTTTAATCCAACTTAGCTTTCAGAAGTGGCACAATTGTCTGTGTATATTTCTGCTATTATAATTACAAATTTGATTTAAAAAATTAATATGGATATTGAGGACTAATTTCAAAATATCACACTATTTGAAGTTGATCTGAACTCGTCCCTGCCTCCCTAACCTGTTCTTCCTCCCACCTATCCCATCCTCCCACCTCAAGCCGCACCTCCATCTCCTACCGACCAACCTCATCCCGCCCCCTTGACCTGTCCGTCCTCCCTGGACTGACCTATCCCCTTCCTAACTCCCTACCTACACTCACCTTTCCTGGCCCCATCCCCGCCTCTTCGACCTGTTTGTTTCCTCTCCACCTATCCTCTCCTCTATCCCTCTTCTATCCGCCTCCCACTCTCTCCCTATTTATTTCAAAACCCCCTTCCCCTCCCCCTTTTCTGATGAAGGGTCTAGGCCCGAAACGTCAGCCTCTCTGCTCCTATGATGCTGCTTGGCCTGCTGTGTTCATCCAGCCCTGCACCTTGTTGTCTCTTGTTACAGTAACCTGTCAGGTATCAGAAATAACGTGATTATATCACTGGTGATGTTCTGCAAATACTGATTTTTTAAAAATCCATTTATAATAATACTAATGCTCAGAAACTTTTCCCAGGGATGTTTATTTTCTCTGGAGTAAGATACATTATTTGTTGCGGGTAGTGATCAGACTGAATCTATTGTTCATTAGTTGAACACTACAGCATACAGCTGAAACTCTACAGTTTTCAGGCACTATCTCTATGGATTTTAAAACTCATAGATCAATCCAGGAAATTCAGTAAAAACTGAAAGGAAGCTTTTAATGTGCACAATCATTCAAATGACTGTACTTGCGTATGCCTCATCTAATATATTCGTAAACAGTTATAGCTTTCTTTGAGGTGAACAGCCGAAGGAAACACTCATGACACAAGATAAGCTTAGAGCTCAAGATTACAATTTTTTAAATCTATGTAGGAAATGGCATTGCTTAATTTAATGACGCGATGTAGAAAAATCTTGGGTGGGTCGGGGTTCCACTCTATACACACACATACACATACACACACACACACACGCATTAATTCATTTTACATGAAAAGATGCAGCTTATGTTACAAGAGAGAGCGTTGCTTGACTTCATTGCCTTAACAGAGGCTTGAAGAGCTTCAAGAGTTCATCAAAATGACGTTCTCTCCCTTCACTGAATTAGTTTCTTATGGTAACTTGTCACATAAGACTTGATAAGGACGGTCGACCAGATCAGTCACTATAAATGGAACAAAAACAAAAGTATCCGGAGTAGCTCAGCAGGTCTGGGAACATCTGTGAAGAAAAAAAATCAAGTTAACTTTTCGGGTCCAGTGACTCTCCCTCAGAACTGATGGTAGCTGGGAAAACGTCGGTGTGTATGCAGTAAATAGGGAGATGAGATAGGGAGTAAACGAAGAAAGCGAAGAGCAAAAACAAAGTACATTGAGCTGCTTTAGGACTTAATTGTCGTGAAGCAATAAAAAAAAACAACATTTACTCCCTTAATCTTCTTTCTTTTAATTATTTGCATTTCTTTAATTTTTTTTTTCTCATACTTTCTCTGCTGTCTTTCATCGTTCATATTAATAACTTATTTTGCAATTAATAACAAGACACTTTTGGATTTGGGCAAAGTATACTCTGAAGTTGCATGATAAAATATTGGACTTGAAATTTTAGAATTGCATATCTTTCAACCCAAGACGCCTCACGGTGCCTATTCACGGCCAATGAATGACGACTGAACTGTCATCCTGTGTGCTTGCGATGTCAACACACCAAAGAATTTACTCGCAGTAATGACCAGCAATCACAATGACATAAATCGCTCTTAAGTTTTTTTCTTGCTTTCTTTTGAACAGTGACATTTGGTTACCACACTAGCTGTACTTTATACACTTAAGACAATTTGGGCAAAAATGTTCACGTAGTTACTGCCTTCAAATGATCTTAGAATAGTACGTTCAAACCTTGATTAATAACATTTCAGTCAAAAGTCATACTGAGACCATTAAACCAATTTGGCATGGGTATATGGTGCATAATGTAATAAATTAGCCAATTATAATGGTAATTTTTTTTCTGTTTCTGTGCACAACTAGGTATGGAGGCTGGTGATGTAGTTCAAACTCCCACTTCAATTCATGTAATGGAAGGCGAGAGTGTGATTTTGAACTGCTCCTTTCATTTGCAAGGACTGGGTGCCTACAGTTGGAGAAGAGACGACAGTCCCATAAACTTTGAATCACCGAGATACAAACAAAGAATTATAAAAGCTGACCATCATGCTTTCAAGTCGGGGAAAGACGCATCTATTCAAATTACGAATACGACAGAGTGCGACTCCGGCACATATTACTGTGAGATTGAAATAATGGGGAAACAGAAGAGTACAGGCAATGGAACCGTGGTTACTGTAGAACGGCGTAAGGAACCGAACCATAAGGAATTTTGAAGTTGTTTTGGGAATTAAAACGTTACCTAATTGTTTCCCCATACTATTATCATTCCATTTCTCTGTAACTTGCCTCTGTCTCCGCCTCTGCGTTGCTCACTCTTGCTGCCCATGAGAATTACACATCTTTATGTCTCTTTTTCTCGCTCCAGAAGTCCACCTCGACTGTATGCTTTTGTGTTTGTCCCCGTGTTCCTGTCTCATCCTTCTCAATCGCTGTGTTATTTGCCTTTATACTTTGCATGTACATTTATAAATGAATAAATGATTTTTCTTTCCTTTCTACAGATGCTTGTGATAAAGCAAAATATTTAAAAACCATGTCATTTGAATGGATATGGATTGCAGTGGCAGGAGGAGTCACGTTGCTGGTCACTCTGTCGCTGCTTGTGGTAATCATAATTCTTGCTCGACGAAACAAAGGTATTTAATATCTTGAAAATGGCAAGAATGTCATGGAATCATAATGCTTTCTATCCCTTGACTTACAGTGCCAAAATATTATAATAATGTGATAGCTCTTTTGAAATTTTGGAGTAAGTGGTTAATATATTTTCCATTTTGCAATGAATCTAGCGTAGGTGGTGCTAATGTTTTTCATGGGTTATCTGAACAGCTCTGGTATCCAGGTTATGCAAAGGTATTTTGCCCGTGGAGAAGCTGCAGAAAAAATGATTTATTCGAATGATACCAGGACTTAGAATCTATGCCTATCAGGAAAGAATATAGTGGCAAAGTAAACATGAAACAGGGATATTTTCAAAGATTGCGACAACGTTTGATAAGTATAGACTCATAAAAGATACATCTGTTAAATGATAATAGATGGGCCTTTAATGTGAAATTATTACTGATGATATCAGTATTTAATTGTGGAAAAACAATTTTATCCAGAGAGTGTTTAGAATGTGTAACTCGCCACAACAAAGTGTAATTGAGGTGACTAGGATAAATGCATTTTAGGAGAACTTGGACAATCGTAAGAGAAACAAGGAATTGATATACAGAACATATAATGGAGTTAGATGAGGAAGGGTTTGAATAATCAGATAATAAACAACAACAGGATGATGCTAGTTTGAATGACCAACTTTTGTGTTCTAATTATAAAACAACTTTCAGCCGTCTGTTGCGCGGGGGCACTTTTTGCTTTTCAGGCAACGTAAGGTAATATGTCTTAATAAAAATACGTGTAACCTGTTCCTACTTACATGGAAAAATAACGGGGAGGAAATGAAATTAAGCAGTAAAAGAGAATGAATTAGTGCTAGCAGACATTGCAGTTCAGACCTTAATGTCAACCAACAGATTATAACAAGATCAGTAAAGATACATGAATGTTTAACAAATAGATACATTTTGTCATTGTGCTGTCGTATTAATAAATAACCATTATTCTACTCTACCATTTTCTTACAGCATACGCTTTGCTTGTCAGGTTAGTCACTCAATAACTTGCTTGTCGGCATATTTTGGTGCTCTGCTTTTCTCTGAATGTTTGTTAAGTATCTTCTTATTCTGCAGAGAATGTTCCTCCTTCGACTCTACAAAAGAGCTGGGTAAGTGATATCCATCTTTATTTGGTTCGCTCAAAACTCTGTCAACAATTGCATGAAAATAATGATTCCGCACGCGCTTGTGTGTGTGTGTGTGTGTGTGTGTGTGTGTGTGTGTGTGTGTGTGTG